AGTCGTCCAATGAGAAGACGGTGGTCGGTCTGTGGATACCACAGGGAGAACAGGTGCATCTGGAGCAGCAAATTAATTTAATTCCATTTCCAGCTCCTTTGAAATGTCGCCCCCTGCTGCAGAGTCTGAGCTTTTCACAGACATTTAAATGTTCAATGGTAGAAAACAACAACAAGTGTCCAGATGGCTGTTGGTTCAACACCCAGGGGCCTGTGATAACCTTAGTCAACCAACAAACAACAACACCAGGTAAACTGCTGATGTTCTTCCTGTAAGGCAGGAGTACGATCCACTCTACCACAGTGTGGCCCAATAGAAATGACTCAAATGTATAAAACTTCCGAGCCTCCTCCTGTGAGTTGATCCGGACCCTCCCCCCTCCACGATGTACCACGGCATAGTTTTGTATTGCATTACTGTGGGACTGAAGTTTTCATTTAGAAATACTGAAAAAACAAAAGAATTATTTTTGGAAAAACAACTCGTTAGCATCATAAATCATCAGCTGGGATTAAAGCCGGGGCTGATGTGGTTCAGACGGTTCACAGACCGATGGTCTGTTGGTCACAGTGTGAGGAGGCGATCATTTCATTAAATGAAACATCCACATGGATTTTCTCAGGACTTTGTGATGATATTCAAACCCAAGTGGAGAAACTTGACTCTGAGTGGAGCGCAGCGGGGAAAGTGGCCGGGAGTTGATCCTGAAAACACCGGGTCCTCGCTGCAGGAATCAAACCAATTAGTTAAAGGCAGCGCTTTTTGCACCGAGCATTATTTTCCTCCTCTCCCTCCTCACCCCCTGCTCCTCCCCCCCCCCCTCCTCTTCTCTTCTTCCCACACTGGGCACAAAAAGCTGCGGCTCACACGGAGACGCACAACAAGAAGCAGCATCCAGAGCAGGAAGACCAGCCCTGCACAGAGCACGGTGTTTACCATGAGGAGGAGGACAACGATGGCGATGATGAAGAGGATGCTTTGAGTCGGGCATCAACCCCCCCACCTGCCCCCCCCCCACCCCTCTCT